CCCTCAGCCATGATCAACGAGGAGTATCGTCCTGGCCCCCTTTTCCCAAGGGGTCATCTCAGCTTTGGAACCCCACAGTGGGCTTAGCTGAGACTTTTATTGAGACTACATCATAACTCAGCTTCCAATTCAGCCCAAACCTCTCATCTTCACCCCTGAGCGTGATGTTTCCTCCTAAGTCACACCCCAATAAACTTCCTACACACAGTCTCCATCTCAGCATCTGTGTCCTAGAGAACCCCACCTGCAACAGCTTGAGGAGCTGGGATGCAGAACACACAATTTGATGGACAGAAGAAATGCACATTCAATAGGTTGATAGCAATACAAGATGATTACTAATGAAGAGTCATAAGTTACCATTCAGAAACCACATCCAACAGTCACAGGAAAACATCAATGGGGCAAGTAGGGAGGGAGACTTCCTGGAAGAGGAGCAGGGACTTGCTGATAGATAGGATTTGAGAAGGTGGGGAAGCAACACCGGGAGCTTCAGGTAGAAGGAGTTGCTCAAGTGGTTTGAGAATAAACATCCCCACTTTGTGAAATAGGAGTTTTGTGTGGGCAACGCAGACATTGTTGGAGGGTGTGAGGGAGCTATGGCTATGGTGTGGATCAGCTAGGTTGGATATTAGATTTGGGAGAGCTTTGACGGTCCGCTGAGACATCCAATATCCACAAATGGTGAGGGACAACTGGGCATAGTGGAGCAGAAGCGGGACACAATGAAGTACATGTAAGTATAGGTGACCCTAAGTAATTGTTGGGGCCAGTGGGGTGGAGATTTCATAGTAATACTTGATGCCAATCATTGAAAACCCTACTGATTTTACTTATTTTAACAAAACCCACTAGTTTTCACTTTGCTGTAAAGAACAGTGCCCTGCCCTAGCTGGTTTGTGTCAGAGGATAGAGCTTTGGCCTGCGGATCAGAGTCCCGGGTTTGATGCCAGTCAAGGGCATGTACCTTGGTTGCAGGCTCCTCCCCAGCCCTGCCCTGGTCGGGCGCATGCAGGAGGCAACCAATGGATGTGTTTCTCTCACACCGATGTTTCTCTCTGTCTTTCCCTCTCTCTTCCATTCTCCCTAGAAATCAATGGAAAAACATCCTCGGGTGAGGATTAACAAACAAACAAAATAACAGTGACCCAAGTTTCACCACATGCGCAGTGGTTTTATGAGCTTTGACCGACTGTCCCATTGCACTTGCCCTTTCCCCTCCAGGGCGTTGGCACGTTATGGCCGGAGCTTGAGAGAAGGTGCCAGGACATGTGCCACCATCCTGCCCCTGCGGAGTTTGAGTGTTTGGGACTATTATCTTACCAGCAGTTTATCTGATGGGTTAGCATTGGGACCAAATTGGAGGAAGGACACTAGTTGGGTAGCAAGTCCACTGATGCAAATGGGGAGTGAATGGTGCTTGGACGCAGGTGGGAGCCACGCGTGTAGCAAAGTGTCACTTCTTTTCATAGCTGGATAACATTCCATTGCCACCTATAAACTACATTTGCTTAACCATTTATCTGCCCAGCTGCTCCCGCCTCTGCCCAGCTGCTCCTGCCTCTGCCCAGCTGCTCCCGCCTCTGCTCAGCTGCTCTGCCTCTGCCCAGCTGCTCCTGACTCTGCCCAGCTGCTCCCGCCTCTGCCCATGCTGCTCCGGGTGCCTAAACACCTTGTTTCCTCCCTTCGTCACCCAGTTGCTCCAGGTGAAGCATCCTGCAAGGCTCAGTGCTCACGTCACACCTCCCCAAAGCGGTCCTCCATCTTTTAGTCCTTGGAGATGGTTATGCTCTCCTTTTAGCACACTGTTCCCCCTATTTGTTTCCTCTCCCTCTCACAGCAAGCTTCTAGAATGGAGTTGCCAGCTGCTCCCGCCTCTGCCCAGCTGCTCCCGCCTCTGCCCAGCTGCTCTGCCTCTGCCCAGCTGCTCCCGCCTCTGCCCATGCTGCTCCGGGTGCCTAAACACCTTGTTTCCTCCCTTCGTCACCCAGTTGCTCCAGGTGAAGCATCCTGCAAGGCTCAGTGCTGACGTCACATCTTCCCAAAGCTGTCCTCCATCCTTTAGTCCTTGGAGATGGTTATGCTCTCCTTTTAGCGCACTGTCCCCCCTATTTGTTTCCTCTCCCTCTCACAGTAAGCTTCTAGAATGGAGTTGGAATCACCCCGCACCCCGAGCCTCCTATTCTTTGTTTTGTCGTTAATCCTCACCTGCGGATATTTTCCCATTGCTTTTGCCCCGCCCCCCCCCCCCCCCCGGGGAAGCAGGAGCTGCCAGCCCTGGAGCTTCCCCACCGACGGGACCGTGGTCTCCAGGCCTCCGGACCCTCTGATGCCTTCCCCTCCTCTTCGTAACATCGGGACACAACCGTCCGGCGCGGGCTGATGGGGGCTCCAAGTTCAAGTGCGGAAAGCAGGGAGCCTGAGCCTGGCCTCCAGGTCAGAAGTTCCCGTGGCCTCCCCCCTTCAGTACGCAGGCCGAGGCTCTAACCACTGAACCACCGCCGGGGCACGTCCTGCCCTTAATACACGCTCAGATGGGGTGTTGCTTTCCCTCAATCAGAGCCGCCAGGCAGCCATGCTTACTGCGCACCAGCCTCTGCCCTCGCCAGCACCCAGCACTGGTTTGGGTCAGGTTCCCAGGGGCCTGTGCCTGGGACACAGCACCCCTCCCGGGAAGCAGGAGCCGCCAGCCCTGGAGCTGCCCCACCGACGGGACCGTGGTCCGTGGTCTCCAGGCCTCCGGACCCTCTGATGCCTTCCCCTCCTCTTCGTAACATCGGGACACAACCGTCCGGCGCGGGCTGATGGGGGCTCCAAGTTCAAGTGCGGAAAGCACGGAACCTGAGCCTGGCCTCCAGGTCAGAAGTTCCCGTGGCCTCCCCGGGCCTGCTCTGAGGACGGGCCTGGCAGCCTCGGTCCCTGCTCTCGCCCTCCGCGGTCCTTTCCTCCAGGTGGGGAGAGGACCCCTGAGCCCTCCTCTGCCAGCAAAACACCCATCCACCCCCAGCCCCGCCGGACCGATGTGGAGGCGCCCCTTGCCGCACGCCCTCTGCTGGGAGACTCAGGAACCACAGAAACAGACTCCAGACAGGGAAGCCCTGGAAAGAAAGCCCTGGAAAGCGCCCTTTTCTTCTTTCCGGACGCCTGACCCGCTCCCCTGCATTCTCGGTAACAGCGTCAGCAGCTGTCATTTCTGAGAGCTGACGTCCCGATTCTGTGCTAAGTGTCCCCAGGGCATCAGTGCATGTCATCCTGCAGATCCCAGCACTTGCTCCCTTGGTACAGATGAGGAAACTGAGGCACAGCGAGGGAAGTAACTGCTCAAAGCCTCACAGTAGTGGCGGAGGCAGGATTCACACCAGCCCCGCCAGGCCTGGACCCGCTGCCCTGGAAGGTCCGGTGGCTGTCAACCCTGCCTCT